TTCTTTCCATTCTGCAATCTAACGGAATTCATTTTTTCAGGCAATTCATCGGCTTCACTCTCCCTCACTTCCATTGGCACAGTTTGCTGCCGAAGAGGAACCAACAAAAATGCTGGTGGTAAGTAGTACCTTTTTCAGCTTACCTGCTAAAATTTTAAAGTAATTACCATAGACTAATTCCAATTATATACAGAAGGGGAGCAGCATGCAACAAAGATTATTACTTGGAAACGGACAACATCTTCGAGATCATCGTCATCAAGAAACCCTCTTAATACAAAGGATGACAATGATGATAGTGGAAGCGAGTTTGTTGATGATTTCTGTATGATTTCCGGAAGCCACTCGTCCACTCTCGACAGATTATATGCATGGGAGAGGAAGCTCTATGACGAAGTGAAGGTACTAAACTTGAATCCCTTCATACAATGTTGGAATATGATCTAAAAGAGTAAAAGTAGGTTGGGTTATGCCGTTATGGTCTAAATGTACCCATGCTGTTGCTTCCAATCTTACAAATTTTCTCTAGAGATGTTTGAGTTTCACAGGAAAACTACACGTGACATGTTTATGGTTATATGTGTCTTATGTCTAGCATTTGATAATTGTCACTACTCTGTAGGCAATCGAGTCAATTAGAAGGGATTATGATCGAAAGTGCGACCAGCTAAGGCACCAATCGGCAAAAGATCTTAGTGCCCAAGTAATTGACAAAACCCGAGCAGGGGTAAAAGATCTACATTCACGAATCAGGGTGGCGCTTTACTCTGTAGACTCAATATCAAAGCGAATCGAGAAAATGAGGGATGAAGAATTGTTGCCTCAACTTTTGGAACTTATTCAAGGGTGAGTCCTTTTATTCACTTCATACTGGAAAATATTTTTGCCTTTCTTGGATTCTGAGCTTAGTACACGAACCATAACTAGCGGACTCTATGCAGGTTGAACAGAATGTGGAGAGGCATGCTTGAATGCCATCACACTCAGTATATTACTATATCCCTAGCGTACCACGCCAAAACTTCAACTGGCAGTCCGCGGGGAATCACGCAAAAGCAGATTATGGATCAACTGCTCGATGAAGTGGAGTGTTTTGGCTTGAGTTTTGCTGATTGGATCAACAGCCATACGATGTACGTAGAAGCTCTTAATGCCTGGCTACAGAACTGCATATTCCAACCTCGAGAGCAGGTCAAGAGGAGAAGAACCTTTTCACGACCCCTTTCCCCACGACGAGGAGTGCCTCCTCCAATATTTGTTTTGTGTCAGGCCTGGTTATCCAATATTCAATCTCTGCCATCTCGAGAACTCAACGATGCCATCAGGGCCTTACTGTATGACCTAAGCCAGTCAGGCGAACACCACCCGGAGGAACAACACAAGAAAGAAACAACTGTTGATGCTACCAACACCGGGGAAGGGAAGAGCAGCAGCGAGACATCATCAGACTTGAACTGCATACATGCGAGCTTGACAAGAGTTCTCAACAGGCTGACAAAATTCTCCGAGGCTTCTCTGAAAATGTGTGAAGATGTCAGGCAGAGATGCGAGATGGCTACAAATGCATATGTGAACTATAAACCACCAAGATCTTTCAGCATATGAAACCCTTCAAATCTTTATTTATGAAAGTAGATGTCTGCAACTATAAACACCTGTAAATCAAAGTACTGGAAGCTTTTTCATGCATAGGATATGATCTTAGTGAGGAATGGATGGTTGTGATTTGTGGAACAGAACACCTATTTCATATTAATGCTAAATGATACACATCTTTCTATACAAGTAAAATTTTCATTTTATCCAACACTCGGCACAAATTAGGGTTGTAAAACTTGTCTGAGGATGTATGGTGGTGATAGCCTTGTATGGGATATCTAGAATCCAGCATTGTGAGCATACTGTGAGTACGCTTCTTCTGCATCCTGCAAAGCGATTGGAGCGCGTATAACATACTCGGGTATATCAAAGCCATCTATGAGCTCCTTTGCGATATTCCTAACTTGGAAACACAGATATTCCATCAACTTTTGAACTGCCTGCAAGGTTGAAAAGGTTGAAAATATCAGGCATTCAGACACTCAAACAAATGGGAATCAATCTAGCCTGTAATACCTTAGCTTTGTTAGGAGCCAGGTAATCCACATTGCGATAAGTTCCTATGTCATTCCAGATTCGATCCAAGGCATAAAGGTCGCAGACGAGTTTCAGGGCAGCACGAGAGTTGGCATTAGGACAACTGCAATGGAAGCCGCAGTTAGACTGTTCTGTCATAGTAAAGAGAAACCACAAAAAGGTGAAGAAAAGGTACCGTTTTATGGCTTCAATGAAGTTTTCAAGGATGAAGGACTCAATGTGGGACTCTGCGAGCGTCAACAGATGATTTAAGCATCTATTCCAAGCACCAAAGCCCCCCAGGGTCTTCAAGTGCTTCTGAAGTCGAACAGAGACACCTTGAAGCAATCGTGATGTACGATACTGGATTATGGGAAGACATGTATACTGTAAGATACAGGAATTGAACCAAAGAAAGAACATTCTCTATCAGACAGCTTAGATAATGCTCACCCTAAAAGCATCCAACTGGAAGTTTGGATCTCGCAAATGGTCTTCACTTTCCCACCTAGCAGTTACTGGGTTAGGCTGAGAGAGATAAGAATTCATCGACTGTCTTAAATAGTTCCATGTAACTGCAAGTGTCCCACCTTTGAACTTCTCCCTATACTGCTTCAAAAGAAATCCTGCTACCTAGGTAATGAAGCAAGCCAGAGTCCAGAATTATTCATTTAGGGAAAACTCTCTTAACAAATATGTTAGCTTACAATAAATAATGTCTCTTTTTATTTTATTTTTTACTTTGTGTACGTGAGTTCCACCATCTCTAACACAAACGCGAGTTCCTAATGAAGAATAGAGCTAAATTTGTTATTGATTTATGGAAACACCAAAAATGAACAAATGTATGAGATAAAGCTAGTAATATGTTCTGATGCTTTGACACATTTCAAACTGCACTACAGCACTTAAAAGGACAAATGCTGATCTGTGTCTCCCCACTTTTCATTTTCTCCCCTGTAACATCATAAAGTCAATCACTCAAGTTATTTTATCCACTAGAATATTTAATGTCATTGAGTTGTTAATCTTATTTTTCTTTTCTCCCTTTTTTCATGTATTAAAGTTGTAGAGCTCTTACTCAATGGAAAGACGCCTAGCTAATACCTGCTGTAGAAGGACTGTGTTGTCCCCTTCAAATGTTTGAAATATGTCATGGTCATTCCTCAAATCACCAAACCGATTAACAGCAGCATAGCCATGACCTCCACAAGATTCTCTGCATGTGTTCAATGACTTTGCAGTGTATGAAGTGACATATGCTTTAAGCCCTGCTGATAGAGCATGGACATCTGCCACCAAGTCTTCATCATGAGATTTCTTCATTTCAGTATACTTTTCTATCAGATGTAAAGATGCAAAGTGGAATGCATAAGCTGAAGCCAACATTGGCATAAGCTTGTGCTGGTGAGACTGATAATCTAGTATACTGACTTCAGGCTGTTTGGGAGGACCAAATTGTTGGCGTAAAAGAGAATATCTGGTGGCAATGGTGACTGCCAGTTTAAGGACACTAACTGAGGAATATGCAAGCCCCACTCTTCCTCCTACAAGTTCTCCCAATGTGGCAGCAAATCTTTTATTGATTGAAGGAAGGCTGCTTGTGTATTTTCCATCCCGTGACACATCTCCAAAACGATTAAGGAGATTATCCCGGGGAATTCTCACTGACCTGAACCTTAATGCACCATTGTCCACTCCATTCAACCCAATTTTTTTGCCACAATCATGTATTTCGACTCCTGGAAGAGTTTTGTGAGTCTTCTGATCCCTTATTGGAACAATGAATGCATGAACACCCATGTCAGAGACACCATTTGAATCATTACTTGGTAAAATCAATCTCGCAAAAACTGTTGCATATTTTCCATGAACTGCAGCATTACCAATCCACCATTTAATAGCCCCATCATTAGGTGTGTCTATAATGAATTCATCCTCAAGTTGATCATAGGTGGCAACAGTCTGAAGGCCTTGAACATTTGAACCTACCCAGGCCAACACATAAAGATAGATCAGACTAGAGACAACAAAACTTCATATTTGAAAAGGACAAGATAAATTAATTGATACTCCTTTGTTAAATATATATGTGCATCCTTTTTTTACATGCCCAAAGAGATTGAACTTCCACTTGGTAACGGAATTTTCTATATCTCTAAAAGTTCAAATTAACTAAAAGTTATCAAATCTAAATTCAATGTCTCATGCCTATATATTCAAACTATTTCAGAAACACCAACATTTAGCAAATATACAATGAGATAATCAAACCAACTTAAAGCATCGATGTTGGGTGGATGGGCATGGATTTATAGCTTACAATAGCACCAGAAGGATCAAAAGTTCTTTTTTTTTTTTTTTTTTAAATGTTTGATAAGTGGAAGATTATAACATATATTAGGAAAAGTCTGACTCTTGTGTGTATAAACAAATATGAAAACAAAATCTGTCCAACTCCAGACCTTAATCATATCATCAAAGGAATTGCCAGAAAGAATATCTTGGCAAACGCATGTGAGAAACAAATTTGTTCTACTTAAAACCTTGTTTATATTGCCAGGCCATTCCCATGTTAAGTAAGAAATGAATTCAAGATGCTATCACAAACATCAAAACATCTTAAACATTCTGTCAAAATTATATTCAAGAAGAAAAAGAATAGATTGCTGAAACTGGACAAGAGGAAGAACATTACCATGATGAAGTTCTGTCATCGCAAAGCAACCTGTATACTCCAGATTGTCTATACCTTCAAAGTATTTGTCCCAATGTTTCTTAGTTCCCAGATTGAGAACAGAGCCTCCCCAGAGACTGCAGCGAAACTCTAGTCATCTAAGGAATTTCACAAAAAAAAAAAACGGAAGACAAAAACAGAATTACAGATGCTATGTCCAATTGAACTTTGGAGTAAATTACAGCTTTGATGGCTCATTGTCCTGGTGGGATGATTCACATACACCCACACACACATAATTTGAATAAAACAACTACTTGGAGCTTGTTCTCCACCAAGATTTTTTTTTTTTTTTTTTTTGAATATGAGTAATCAAGCTGTTAGGCATGAGAAAGCAGTATTGAATACAAGCTTCTAGAACTCCAAACACCCTGATTTGGCATGATCCATACATCTGAGGCATAATGAATTTGCAAAAAGGATATCTTATGCAGCTGGAATGCGATGAGTGATTTAAAAGCTATCTTTGATCTTATGCTAAGTCACTATGTATACGGGTTATAAAGGCACAAGGAATCAGTATCAATCCTCTACTATACCAAACACTACAGCTATAGATCAACAAATACAGCCAATAGGGAATAGAACACTTAAAACGAATGTGGCATAGGTAGGACTAAGCAAACAAAATATGAAGTAGTTGTTAAAAAGCAGTACTATTATACTTATCTCAAACCAACGCCATATTTTCTAACAATAGCAGAAGAGTGAGCAAATCTCACCTGTACTGAACACCCATTTTGATGGCAAGAGATACGTCAACGGCCCCAACAGCCTCCACAATAGCGAAATACTTACTAGGCTCCTCCACCACGTACCTGAGCGGCCTTACCCCGGCCTCCCGGACCAGACCAGAGAGCTGTCTCATGCACAATTCCCGGTGCTCATCCTTCAGAATATCCAGCGGCGTCTGCAGGCCCGGCCTGGAGCTGAAGTACTCGTACACCTTCTCCTGCAACTCCCTGTGCTCCCCCCTCAGGTACACCGACAACTCCTTGGTATTCACCGTCAGAACCTTCGCCCTAGCGGCACACGTCAGCATCTCCAGGCGGCTGTCCGCGGAGTTGTCCAGGAACGTCGCCGGCGTGAGGTGCATTGACAGCCGTCGGATGCGGCGGTTAATCAGTTGCGTCTCCTCCCGATTTTCGTCCTCCGCCGTGCGATTCAGACGTTGCGACGTCATCTTCCGATGATCCATAGCAGCGCTATGCATCTACCGAACAGAGTGGTGTGTACGGAATTATTGTACGGTTCCGCAGAGAGAAGTAGAGAAGCGATCGGAGAAGAAGGAAGTGACTTTTACGGCAAATTAAATTGGATTAGTTGAAATGGAGAGATTAGCAGCAGGTTAGTTGCGACGGAACGATATAGTGACGTGGCTTTAGGCAGGCTGCGCACGTGGAGAGACGACATTGGAAGATGGCTGGTGTGACACTCCCTATTTATTTCGGCGCGCAGTTGAACGACAACGACTCATCAGGGCCAAAATATGGTCCGGTTCTGATTCGGGAAAAAAAAATATTATGAACCTGCTCGAACAGGTTAATGAAATCATTAACCGCTCACATGGACAGCTTAATTAATAGAGTGAAATTTAAGAACAATAATTTGAAATTGAATCTTACTAACGATAATGTGGAAAATTGAAAATAACCTCAAGCAAGGGGCTACTTATGTGCAGTAAACAAATGTCTAGCATATGTTATCAGTTGAGTTATCATAATTTACATCTTTTCAAAAATTCTGTTGGGTAGGGGTGTTGATAGTACTAATTTCTTCGTATATGTATGCTGTAAGAAGTAGCATAGAGTACTAGATACGGTTTCGTATATGCAATACTGAAATACGGTCGCCCAGTGTTAATGACAGTAGGTCGGGAGCCACCGAGTGGGCGCCTGATTTCCCTTCTCGTCCCAAAGTCCCCCTTACCGTAATAAATGCGAGTATTTATAGGAAAATTGAGGGGGACAGGCATCCGGGTTACCAACATGGCGGACACGTGTTCCGTATATGCCGGGCAGGCATGGGCAAGGCCCGCCATTGACACGTAAGCCCCCTAAAGAGGTTCATGCATGAGCAATCACTCCGGAGAGTAGATCGGGTTGTACCGATCGGGCGACACCGGTCGGTCCAGCAAGAGTGTGTTGCATCCAGACCGTACCGACCTGAATATAGGGGGCCCAAGTGCTACACCAGGGAGGTATATTCCGCTGTGGAGGTCCTCGGAGTTAATAATTCAACTTTTAGGAATAATGAAATCATTATCCCCTATTAAGTTAATGATTTCATTTTCTTTTCATTTTGAGTTTGTTTGTTCTAGGACAAGTTCTTCATTGTTCTTGCTCTAGAGGCCGGTAAAAGTAGTAGATTGTATCCCGACTAATCTCCCTTTTCAATTTATTGGACACTCGTACCCTGAAAAATTGTAGATAATGTAAATTACAGCCCCAAATACTTGCACACAACAAGGCCACCTTCTCTTTTTTAGTCTTTTGTAGATTTTGAACACTATCCCATGCGATTGCTAACACAACAAAATTTATGAATTTATTTTAGATTAGTTGACCAGTTGAATTATGTCTCAACAAGGCCACCTTCTCTTTTTTAGTCTTTTGTAGATTTTGAACACTATACCATGCGATTGCTAATACAACAAAATTTATGAACTTATTTTAGATTAGTTGATCAGTTGAATTATGTCTAGTCTAGAGACAATAAAAGCCTATTATTAGTTGGAAGGATGAAATCAAACTCTTATCATGCTCAATTGCTGTAACATTTTTCATGGAAGTTTTTGTCTTCAGTTTGTTTTTATTATTTTCTATTATTTTTCTTTCCTATGACTATATTCTTTATTATCTTGACTTTAGTGGGTTATGAAATAATTCAGTATTTAAATAGGTTGAACTGCTCCATTATGCGCATAAATATTTAGAAGTCAACTAAGAGTACACACATTAAGACAAATCAGGTTAGCCTCATACTTATGTAGACTATTTTAGACTTTTAGTGCACTTATCTATAATAGCACCGTGGATGCACTATCAAATCTTTTTAAATGACACTGTCGTAGTTTAAATAATCTAAGCCCTCACCATCGAGATAAAGATTATAATAATGCACCATTATATATGGATGCACTATCAAACCTTTTCAAATTGCACTATCGTAGCCTAAAGAATCTAAGTCCCATCACCGAGATTCGAACCTATGATCACCTATTTGGAATGGTAACCGGGATATTATCACAATACATCTAATTCCCCAAAGTCAACTCTGATTGAATGGTATATACAGGCTCTAGTTTGTTAGGAGAATGATTCATATAGCAACAACAACAATAATTTTTGGCAGGTCATACTACATAACTGCACCACTAACCATTACACAGTTGACTTCTTTCATGTCTGCATTTCCCACCAATGGAGGTGATTAAAATATGGATTTTTAACTTACAAATAATACCAAGATTAGTCCTACTTTACAAGCATTAAAGTAGACTAAAGTTAGTAAGGATAAATCATGTTTTTTTTAAAAAAAATCAGAAAAGGTGTTGGTCAACACCATACAGTGCATCAAGATCCAACAATTCAGGACAGTACAACATTAAATTAGTGAAATAGTTGACTTGATAACTACAATGTTCAAAGTTCTGTTTATGTAAGAATTATTTATTGACTTTCTTGATTTGAACTAGTCATCATAAATCAAATATCCAACAATTTCAACATAGAAAAGCCAAGCCATTAGGGCCTATATATCTGCAGACTCACCATATTGTTGCAACAGACATAACTCACCATTAAAGAAGAGAAATTGCTTCTTTCTTCTCCCTTCTTCTTCTTCTTCTTCTTTTTTCCCTTTCCTTTCTGTCTTTCAAATTTTTTGTTCTTCTGAATCTCTTTGCTGTTGCAGTCTTGCATATACAATCTGCAGTTTTCTCAGATCCTTTGTGAGAAGACCTGATGAAAGAGATTGAACCTTTTCTGCGTTCTTGGCAGTCCATATCATCATCATCTTCTTCTTCTTGGTCAGATGGTATGAGTTTTAACCAAACAGGACCAATTGGGCTAAACGAGCTAACTCCATCACAGATCCTTCAAATCCAGCTTCAATACTACCAAGCTTCTTCTCCATCCTATTTGGGTGCTAAACCAGTGGCGATGAAGAGGGCGGCGGGGCCGCCGCCATTGAAGCTGGCGAAGCTTTACCGGGGAGTGCGGCAGCGGCATTGGGGAAAATGGGTTGCAGAAATCAGACTTCCCAAGAACCGAACCAGGCTCTGGCTGGGAACCTTCGACACCGCCGAAGAAGCCGCAATGGCTTACGACAAGGCGGCGTATAAACTCCGGGGAGAATACGCCAGCCTCAATTTCCCCAATCTCCGACGACTGCACTTTTCTCAGAACTTCAACCCCCTCCCATCCTCCGTTGAAGCCAAACTGGACGCCATTATTCGCCAGAACCAGGCCAAAACTGAACCCGCTTCTTATAGTGGTGGGGATACCGAATGCTATAACCAGAAAGAAACAAAACCCCCTTCTTACAGTGGCGGGGATACCCGATGCTATAACCAGAAAGAAATAAAACCCGCTTCTTACAGTGGCGGGGATAACCGATGCTATAACCAGACAGAAACAAATCCCGCTTCTTACAGTGGCGGGGATACCGGATGCTATAACCAGAAAGAGACGGAACCCACTTCTTACAGTGGTGGGAATACCGGATGCTATAACCAGAAAGAGACAGAACCCGCTTCTTATAGTGGTGGGGATACTGGATGCTATACCCAGAAAGAGACAGAACCCGCTTCTTATAGTGGTGGGGATACTGGATGCTATACCCAGAAAGAGACAGAACCCACTTCTTATAGTGGTGGGGATACTGGATGCTATACTCAGAAAGAGACAGAACCCGCTTCTTATAGTGGTGGGGATACTGGATGCTATACCCAGAAAGAGACAGAATCCGCTTCTTATAGTGGTGGGGATACTGGATGCTATACCCAGAAAGAGACAGAATCCGCTTCTTATAGTGGTGGGGATACTGGATGCTATACCCAGAAAGAGACAGAATCCGCTTCTTATAGTGGTGGGGATACTGGATGCTATACCCAGAAAGAGACAGAACCTGCTTCTTATAGTGGTGGGGATACTGGATATTATACTCAGAACGAAACAACAGAAACGTTTTATAGTGGTGAGAATATGGGATGCTATACTAAAAAAAAAACTGGAATTTCTTATAGTAGTGAGGATATCGAAGCGGCTTCATATGATCAAGTGTCATCATTATCTTCACCGGAGTCCGAAATCACGATCTTGGATTTCCTGGAGCCGTGTGATGAATTCGAGAATTTCATATTGCAGAAACATCCGTACGTTGAGATCGACTGGGAAGCGCTGTGATTATAATCTTTTTTCAAGTAATGTTTAGTGTTCTTAATCTGTAGTCCATGATTGATTAGGTTATGAGTATGGAGACAGGATCTGATCTGCAATGAGATTTTTAACATCTGCAGAGATCCAATCCTTACATCTATAGTACTTAATGTTGTTCATAGTATGTTTATTTTCCACACTGGAAGGGCACTCAAATTTCAATCAAGAGTAACCATTGTATATGAACTAAATATAATCAATAGACCTTTTAAATTGAGTACAAAATTGAGTTATAGTTGACTTGATAGACATGTAGTGCTTATGTAGATGTATGTGTTTTTTTATTTAATTTTATAAAAAAATTGACTGCCTGTGATCATATTCAATAATGTAGATTGTCATGAT